AGTCAACACCCTTCACGTACACATTTGAGGACTCTTTCAAACTCAACGCTGGAGGAGATGTCACTGTGAGTTTCACATGTTGTCCTTTATTTTTTATTTCATCATTGAATTCTATAAAAAAAAAATACAAAAATGTTAGCGATAAGCGGGTCTTCAACGATCCACGCAGGTTTAGCTTTTGTCCGCACGACGATGTTTGCCATAGGTGTCTCTAGGACTCGGCCGTTGGCAAACGTGAGAAATCTCGGGCTGATCAGACACCGTCTATAGGAGTTACAGCAGTAACATAAACATTATGTTTGATGGCAAGTGTTCGGTCGCCCTGGCAACGGCATATGATGACACCCCATGATAGGCAATATACTAGAACACTCTCATTAAGACATAACACAAATCAAAGTAGTGCAAGTCACATATTGCTGCAGACCATGTATAGCTTTAATTATTTATTACGATGCAATACTATACGTAACGATACGATACGGTAATACTTTCATGGTCAGATCAAGTCTGAAATGCTCCTTGCATCACAGCAGCTCCATGTGGAACATCAACAGACAAATATCAAGACACAATACATGAACAACAAACAACGAACATTGAACATAACAGCTGGATCAGTGAGAGAAGAGCTGCTCAAAGAGCCTTCAGCATCTGATCTGGAGTCAGCTCTGTGTTCACTGAGAGGACTGACTGGAGCACAAAGGATGCTTCAGTCTGACTTAATGATCTCCATTAGATGGTAGCAGTTCATATTCTCTGCTCAGAGCATGCTTTGGGTCCCAGAGGATGCTGTTGGACAGCCTCTCAGGTTATTATGGTCTGCTGAGTCAGAAAGTCTCTGACAGGGTGGACCAACAATCGTTGAGCAGATTTTTAACAGATGGAGCAGTTTTGATTTTAAAGCTGCTGACAAACATTTGTACCAGGTAGTATTGCAGTACTGCAGAATGGACATGATCACAGATGTAAAGAACAACAGAAGAATTTCTCTGCTCGCCCAAAAAGACCTAAGAAAATAAATGATTTGTTTTGTCCTTTTGCACAGATATTCAATGTGATCCTTTCATGACAGCAGATGGTCAATCATTCAAAGTAATGATTTAATGAATGTTCCTGTCTGTGACCTTTGTATTTTACAGATCACACATAAACGTCTCAGTAATAATCCTGCTGACCTGGTGTGGGAGGATCTGCAGTTCTGGAATCCTGGAGACAAACTGGAGTTTTCCCTCTGCAGCGACACTGGAGAGGACCAACACATCGTAGTTAAAAGTCTATTATCCAAAGATACAAACTGACCTCTTTGGCTCCGCTCTGATATTGTTTTCCTTCAATTGATCATACCCTGCTTTCATCAAAGGTTGCAAATAAACTCCTTCACACTGTCAACCCTGGAGAAGAAATGTCAGGAGTTTATTTGCAACTTTTGATGCACTTGTCTCTCATGATAAAAATGTGTGAAGTGTCTGAGCAGATTTATTAGCAACAGGAAAGAGTAATGGGAGAAAGTTAGCTTATCCGTCTTTATTTTTATATATTTGACTGAAAAACAACTGTTAATTGAAGCAAAAAATCATTCAGCTTTCCGTAAATAAAAGAAACTTTTGAAATTGTGTTTTATTTAGAAAAGTCCAGATGTTGATGTACAGTTTTGATGATATTTGCTTTGGGAAACATCAATTTCTAAATATTTTTTCTATAGGCATATACAGTGAGATACACTTTACAACATTTGATCAAATATATAATATTTTTGGAGTAATATTTGAATATTATATGATGTTACAAAATCAGTTGCGCAGGAAAAATAGATTGTTGATTTATTGTCATTTATATATGTACTTGTTTTCTGTTTAAATAAACACACAAAATAAGTCTGTATTGTTTGTTGCCTAAATAGCACATGTCTGCATTCCTGCTAGCCTGATAAAGTTAGGATACCAACATGCTTAGTGGCAGTGCTAATATGCTAGCAGGTATTATCATGTTCGTCACTCACAACAACTCCAAATATATATCACTTTAGACTCAATTTACACTTAAGTTACTCTATAAAACCATAAAGATGAAGTTGCTCCTAAAGTCACCTCAAAGCCTCTTCTACATATTCACATACATTTAAATAAAAAACCTTTTATGTGGGTTGTGTCTGAGAAGCTGAAAGTATCTCTGGAGTCTAAAATAAAACTCAGAACAACATACCCTCAGCTCACCTTTAAAAATAAATGCATGCGTCAGTCAGTATCTCTGTGGTTTTTAACGTTGTCTTGAGTGTGAGAAAGTCTAACAGCTGCTGCACGTACCATCATGTGACACAGAGAAGTTACACACCTCACACTCAACCTGAGCAGAAGAAGAGATACAAAGCTGAAGAAAGTGATAATGTCCTCGGCTCGTGGTGTTCATTATCTTGATAACCAAACTCTGATCTTTTTACATGAGTTATTTCTGTGTGACCCTGAGTTTCCCACAATGCAGCAGTCCCACCAGCAGCAGCAGCAGAGCCACCATCACTACGGTGAACACAGTCCTTAAGACGAGGAGGACGTGAAGGGAGTGATCCCATTTATGTTACGAACCCACTAGGGATGAGTAAGATAACATACACCAGATGGATTTGGTAAGTAATTATAATAGGATTTAATGAGCAACAACAAAGGTGCACAACAAAATGAGGTCAAAAGAAGCCTAAGCCAAACAAAGAAGCCAAAAGGGTGCAGTTCTACTGCTAGTAACAGAAGGAGGACTCTTGAAAATGAGCCTAATTAACACACCTGATATCTCTTCCAATTAACTTTATTGGAAGGAGGCTGCAGGAAAATGCAGCTAACTAGATAAACTAAACACACGCTACTCTAAACACAAATCAACACGCTACTCTAAGCACACATATAAACACACTAAACACACAACACTAAACACGGATCACAATAGTCAAACACAGTCTATTGCTCAAGACTGAAGTGTCCACGACACAGGAGCAAAATGTGTGAGGCGTCTGATCGCAGCAGAGCCTTTCGAGTGATAATTGTCCCCAGGCTTTGTAGTAATCTCCGGAAGGTGTGCTCTGGGATTGCACGGGGATTGGAGAGCGTCGGGCCCGGCGTGCTCCAATCAGTGTCTTCGGAGGAGGACCAGGAGATGACAGCCAACGACATTGGGGCAACCACACAGCTCATTTACATATTACACACACACACAGCTGCAAACAATCTCAGACAGGTTAACGAGCAGACAGAAACAGCAGCCGTAACACCTCCTCCCTTAAGACACAAACCTATGGTTTTGTTAACCTACCTAATAACTCTGAAGGATTCTAAGGACTCGAAGGACTCTGAAGGACTCTAAGGACTCGAAGGACTCTAAGGACTCTAAGGACTCTAAGGACTCTAAGGACTCTGAAGGACTCTGCAGGACTCTGAAGGACTCTGAAGGACTCTAAGGACTCTAAGGACTCTAAAGGACTCTGAGGACTCTAAGGATTCTAAGGACTCTAAGGACTCTAAGGACTCTAAGGACTCTAAGGACTACCGGAATCATAAGGACCCATGCAATGTTCCTGTCGGCGGCGGCTCTTTGCGTTTCAGCGTTTCACAGTTGGCAATGACATGCCCAGGTTGGCGACAGTAAAAACACTCTCTCTCCTCTTTTTTCACATTATACACATTTGATAGCTGAGTAAAGGGTGCAGCTGTCACACGTCGGGTTTCGTCAGTAAAACCCGGAGAAAACACAGATTTGTGGGTAAGCACATACTCGTCAGCCAACACGGCTGCAGCTGAGAGGGAATTTACTTTCTGCTCATTTAAGTACACCACAATGCGCTCAGACGAACATTTCTTAAATTCCTCCATCAAGATCAATTCTCTCAGAGCGGTATAATCCGCGGCTTTGCAGGAAGCGATCCACTTTGCAAACAACATCCCCTTTTCTCTTGCAAACTCCACATGTGTTTGATTAGGAGCCTTTCTATGGTGTCTGAATTTCTGTCGGTAAGCTTCGGGAACGAGTTCGTACACTCTGAGGATGGCAGTTTTAACGGAGTCATAATTAAGACTTTCCGCCAATGAAAGAGCAGCTACTGCTTCCTGAGCTCTCCCGTGAATTTTGCATTGCGCTAAAAGAGCCCAGGCTTCAGCCGGCCACCGCAACGCTGCGGCAATGCGCTCAAACGCGCCAAAATATGCATCCACTTCAGTCTCCCTGAATGTTGGCACTAATGAGAGGTTTTTACTCACGTCAAAGGTGGGTGGATGAGGGCCTGCGGCCGGGGCAAAAGCGCCGGGTGCGTTCAGTTGTGATTCCAACTCCAGCTGACGCACCCTGACTGCTTTGTCGGCCTCAATTTCCAGCTTCCTTACTTCCAGCCGGAACTGTAACTGTGCCTGCTCTGCTCTGTCTGTTGCCTCTAACTGGAGACGTGCGAGACGGACCTTAAGTTTAGCCCCCTCTCGGGAGTCTACGGAGCTACCAGGAGATAGGGGTTCATGGCGAGGCAACGTGTGCGGTGGTGTAAACCGCCCGTCGTCCTCACTGTCACCACCCTCTGCCTGAGCAGCTGAAGGCTCCGCCTCAAGCTTCTGTGTCTTCCCAGTTTCAGTTAAAGCATCAGACGGTGCAGGCAGCACAAGATTACCCCTTTCCACCAACTCATCCACAATGACAGCCTTTAAATCTGCTTTTAATAACTGTCTTGCCCCAGTGAGCCTGAAGTGTTGAGCAATCTCTAACAGGTCTTCCTTACGACACTGATCTAGCTGCTCGATTGAAGGACTGATTAAAAAGGACTCCAAATTAAAAGATGCCATACTCAGGTGAACTGCACTCAAAGTGTTACCACTTAAACCCACTTATAACCCCAGAATTCAAGTGAAAAGATCCCGGAGGAGCCCCCATTTATGTTATGCATTTATGCTGCAAACACAACACAACGTGAATATATATAATAAAAAACTCACATATATTCTCCAAATGTTAGCTTTCAAGCAATATCTCACCTCTGACAGCCAGCCAGCTCTCTGGTGATTCTCCATCGTCAGAGATGCTGCACTTGTAGAGTCCTTCATCAGATTTAGAAACTCTTTGGATGGTGATGATTCCTGTAGAGCTGCTCCTGATGAGGCGGCCATCTTTATAGAAGTCAGCTGACAGGATGGAGGAAGTGGTCGTCTTGTTTCTGCAGCTCAGAGTCACAGATTCTCCCTCCATCACAGGAAGCACAGGACTCTCCAGGATCACAGAGCCAGCTGAATTAGGATCAAACGTTTAGTCTTATCTGTTATTTATAATAAAGAATAGGAGTTGATTTAGACAGAGGGAAGAAATGTCATCCTGAAAATACAGTGAATGTAAAATGTGGCAACATACACATACTGAATGAAAATATCAGAAATAACCAGAACTACATGATCAATAAATCAGAAATTACATTTTCTTTAAAATGTTCAGATACAAAATAGGTTTGTCTTTGAAAACGGTCTTCTGATCCCAACATATTCAAAAAGTTTGAGGCATTGCAATTCCTGCATATTTATGACACACTTGGTCAGAATCAATATATGTTTTACAAGTACTGTATATAGATGTAACATTGAAAACTATCTGCAGTATATCTGAATTAAAGGAAAAGAGCATTGCAGTTTAAAACAAATCTTAATTACTATAAACATACCGGTGACGGTGATGTCGACAGAGTTGCTCTTCTCTCCTTTCTCATCCTCACACCAGTAAACCCCACTGTCTGAATCATAGGCTGATTTAATGGTGCAGTTCAGTGTTGATGAATCAATAATATAACAACCCTGAATTAACTCATTGTTGTTCCTAAACCCCCTCAGAGCAGATCCAAGACCCTCGCAGAGAAAAGAGAAGGGTTTGTATTCAAAGAGCTGCAGTCTCTCTGCCATCATTTGCAAAGCTGCGTCTGAGGACAGAAACAGAGACAATAGAGCATTTGATATATAAAAAATGACTTGCAAAACTATGATTTGAATCGGGAGAATAAAAAAATCACAATCTGGAATGTTTGATTTAATTTCAAGTTGACATTGTCAGCCTACTATTCAGGTTAGAAAATACATATTTGAAACTTCATTAACTTTATATTACTCTACAGAGACATACACAGATGCAATTAAATGGCTATTATCAGCCTAACTTGAATCTGGTTGGGAGTTAAAGACTGAAACTGTGGAAAGCATTATGTGGAAAAATGTAAAAAGTTACTTTTGTATAGTTGCTACCCACCATAGTTTCCCGTAGAGCTCTTCTGAATATGTGCACCCAGCAGAATGACGACACACATCACTGGATATAAAAGTAAAGAAAACTGTAAATCAGCCTCATATGTGTTAATATAAAAGAATAAATGAAAGTTGAAAGAAAGCTGAGACTCACGCAGTCGGCTGCAGAGCGCTGTGACCTCCATGATGTCTTCCTGCTGTCTGAGCGTCTCACTGTGAGACACAGAAATATGATGTGAGTGAGAACTTCCTCTTCCTGAGTGTTTCTGAGGCTGGGGTCAGACTCTCTGTGGTTTCAGCTCAGAGCTCTAGATGAAACCGTTACCAGTTAACATGTGGCTGAGAACATCATGAAATAAAAACCATAGTTGAGCGTTATGGGCAGTGGAACATATGTGCTGTCTTTGTGCATGAAGAGGTATGGTCATGTTGAAACAGGCCTAAAACTATAGCCTTAATAACGTGATCAACTCCAATACATCATGAGGAAACAAACTCAAAACAAGAAGATTCATTCAAGTGGGTACCATCCTTAAACCAAACACACAAACTGAACCTCCTGCTGGTGGTTTTCTGCGTTACAGGCAGAAGGGCCATGCACACTGCGGAAGATATAAACACATGGCCGGCCCAGTATATCGTATCGTATCATAGGAAGTTTAGGTGAATGCTCATCCATCCATGGGGGGTGCCGCAAATAGGGGGGGCAGAAACAAATCTAATTCAAAATGATTAACTTTTACTATTTTTTTACAATTGTTTTTACTAATACTATTAACAATAAATGTTAGATAACAACAACAGAACTAGGCCTACAGTAGATTACATACAGAGCCCATACACTGTGGCGCCCCCCCGAGACAGGTGGTAGAGGACCTGCACACTTTTCATATGGGTTTTGAGACCCCAAAGATTTAGTATCTTAATTTTGCCCTGAATGTGCACCAGATTGAAGCATTTCACTTTAGAATGTTTAAACATCTCTTCCCGGGGTCATGCCCCCGGTCCCCCCTAGAGGAGATGAGGTCCACCCCAATTAAGTGACGGCGCGAGCTAAAATATTGCCATGGGTGGCAAATAGGTTAGGGCCGGCACTTTTTAAACACATTAGAGTAGCTGCACAGCCTCAGGTCAGAGTTTATTATCTGATGGAGATGGTCAGGTTTAATCCGTGTTAAATTCTACGAATGATCTGTACAAACACTGGAGAAGAAACAGCTCCATGAACACCGTCGAGCGAGGCTGCTAGTCCTTAAGAGATATACAAAATCCTGCCATCTTTATCTTTTATATCTCTCTCTTTACTAATTTATTTAACTTCCAGACCCTCTACCAATCAGACACACACACACACACACACACACACACACACACACACACACACACACATACACACACACATACACACACACACACACACACACACACACACACACACACATACACACACACACACACACACACACACACACACACACATACACACACACACACACACACACACACACACACACACACACACACAACAGAAGAAAGTCTGACAGATGTTATATAAACTGAGTAGTCCCGCCCCCTGCAGGCAAAGATCAGACATGTCCTCTGCGTTAATAGAGAATTGCCCCTGAACAGTTGCCACAATAAAACCACATAAAAGGTCCTTTGAAACTGTTTTTATTAGCATGTATTAATTTATAACCTGTAACCAAGACACTGAATCCAAAGTTCAGATGTTCATAAACCGAGACGCTCAAAGTGAAACTCAGATAAAAATTCAGTGGATAAAATTACACTAAACTTGTTTTGTTGTGAAACTTTAGTAAGAAATGTCTCTTGCTTTTTCAGAAACATTTGCACACTGAACAAATATAATGCAAAACATTGAATAACTACTTAGAAGTTCAGTGGAAGAATTTAAAGAGCCTTTACTATATCTGCATTATAAACTTCCAGAACCTGTTAATGATCTACAGACTCTGTCCTCGTAGGCAGGTGAAGAGACAGAGACTCGCAACATTCAACAGGTAAGCGGTCTTCGTCTAACATTTAAGCTAAAACAGATTATAAATGTTTAGAAAAAAAAGAGTCTACATTTTGAGTGGTCTTCTCTTATAACCACCATTTTTTATTAGAACAGATAATAAAAGCTTTGTTAATGTTTCAACTGTAAGTCAGTTAAGTTTAGCTTTATTTGCTTGTAGCAGAATAATTAGTAAAACAAATGTACAGTTTCTAACTCAGGTCTTATTATTTCTGTTTTCAGTTCACTTTCAGTTCTCCATGATGCTTCTCCACACAGACGGAAAGCCCCTTAAAACTCATTTGAGAACTCTCAGTGTTTTGGTTTTCCATCTTCTCCTAACACACTACTGTAGAGGTAACTAACACACAATACAATATCGTGATTGTTTTATTTGCAAACTTGTAGGACTGTAAACCCTTTTGAGATTAGATACTGTTATTTGAAAGCAAGGTTCAATATCAGCAAAGTGTTTCAGACGAAAATGCTGCTAAGCTGTAGCCATGAAGCTAGGGCAGGGGTGGGCATTTTACGGCCCGCGGGCCACATTCGGCCCGTTGGCCGGCCTTGGCCGGCCCGTGTGAGGTTGATCATAAATTATAACAGCAACCTTTTCAAAATAAAAGCAACACAGCTGTATTGCTTGCATGGCGTAAATACTTTTCTAACTGTGTTGCTTTTATTTTGAAAAGGGCGCTGCTGTTTTTTTTATTTATTTACGTAAACGCGCATGCCGTAACGGCTACGAGTGATGCTGGCCGGCTAGTCCTCGAAATGTCCGCTAAGGGCAAAAAAAGAAAGATCGATACTGAATGCTGCGTTTTCAACAAGACATGGACCGCTAAGTATTTATTTACAGAAGTGAAAGGTAAAGCTGTGTGTTTAGTTTGTGGTGCGCAGGTCGCTGTGTTCAAGGAGTGCAATTTGAGTCGCCACTATGCTACCAAACACGCAGATAAATACAATAACCTGTCTGAGGAAGAGCGGGCAAAGGGGTCGGATGCTTTGCTAGCTAAGCTGCAAAGCCAACAACATATTTCCACAAAACATTCCACATCCAGAGATGCAGCTGTCAAGACGAGTTATGTCTTATCCCACAAAATTGCAAAGAAAAGTAAACCGTTTTCGGACGGAGAATTCATTAAGGAGTGTTTGTTGGACTCTGCGAAAGTTAAATGAGAAAGTGCCGCTCTCCCGACGCACTGTTACGAGGAGGATTGAGGACATCGCGGGAAATCTGGAGCTTCAGCTGCAGAACAGAGCGGTCAACTTTGACTTTTTTTCCTTGGCTTTGGATGAGAGCTGCGATGTACGTGACACTGCCCAGCTACTCATCTTCCTACGCTTCTCTCAAGCCAAATGGAGGACAACATTCTCACGCACTTGCCAACACTGAAGGAAGCCTCCATTTTCACACCAATTAATAAGAGGGTGGCCAACATAGCACAAGCTAGCTGGACGGGCTCCACATTTTTTTTAATGTTTTTGTTTCACTGAAGCTTATCAAATAGTTTTTAGTTCTATTATGTATTATAAGATAAGATAAGATTGTTTTATCATTTTTGTTATGATATCTAATTATCTGCAGTGTTTTAGTCAACTGACTATTCAGGAGACTGTCACAAACGAGCTGAGGACCAAAATGCAAACACACGGGAAACCTGGGATAGTCGGTAACCAGCTTTATTTAAGGCAATAAACTGGTAGGAGACGAAAAGGCAGATAGTAGGCAAAGGGCTGGTCGGGGACAGGCGAGGGTTCCAGGAGAAGGCAAGACGGGAGTCGCAGGTACAGACCGGGTCAGGGAGCAGGCAAGGCAGAATAGTCCGGGTACAGGCAGGGTCAGGAAACAGGCGAGGCAGGCTGGTCACGGACAGGCAGGGTCGAAACCGGGAGAGCAATCTGGAAGGTAATGCGGGAAAGACTGGCATGCTGCAAAGTACGATCTGGCACTGAGGTGAAAGTGAAGTGGGCCTATATACTAATGGAGCTGATGGGTGTAACAGAGTGAGAGAGAGACAGGGTGTGACTACCAGGTGACTAAGGAATGTTACTGCAGAAAAAAGGTGAGTGAGAAAGCAGAACTGTGACAGAGACAGAGTTGCTGATCATATGACCTTCCTTTGAATATTACATATTAACCAATAAACCTACTTTATTTGTAATGGAAACATCTGCATGCTTTCAGGTATAATAACTACATTTTGATGTAAATCAAATCAAATCAAATCAAAGTTTATTTATAAAGCACATTTAAAAGCGATTTTTGGTCGGGCCAAAGTGCTGTACATGTAATAAATACTACAATCATAAAAACACATTACTACAATCACAATAAAAGACAATAAATTACAACAGATATATAAAAAAAAAAAACACAGGGAAAAGTCAGGAAGTCGTACTCCGCTCTGACTAAAAGGCCAGAGAGAAGAAGTGTGTTTTAAGAGTAGATTTAAAAACCCCTAGGGTCTGGGCCGACCTCACATGGAGGGGCAGAGCGAAGGCTCGGTGACCTCGGGTTTTGAGCCTGGTCTTGGGCACTACCAGCAGCAGCTGGTCAGCAGACCTTAAAGCTCTGGCTGGGGTGTAGCGTTGGAGCAGTTCAGCTATATAGGCCGGAGCCAGCCCATTTAGTGCTTTAAAAACAAATAAAAGGAGTTTAAAATCAATTCGGAACCGAATTGGAAGCCAGTGCAGTGAGGCCAGAATAGGGGTGATGTGGTCACGCTTTTTGTGGCCAGTCAGAAGACGTGCAGCTGCGTTCTGCACTAGCTGCAGGCGTTTAATTGACGCCTGGTCCATACCCACATACAGAGCGTTGCAGTAGTCCAACCTCGAGGTAACAAAGGCGTTAATAACCCTTTCCAGGTCTTTAAAAGATAAAAACGACTTGGTCTTGGCCAATAGTCGTATTTTAAAAAAGCAGGTTTTGACTACGCTGCTGACCTGCTTATCGAATTTAAAAGCGCTATTGAAGGTCACTCCAAGGTTCGTGACAGAGGGGAGGATATTATTTTTGAGGGATCCCAGAATATCAACCTGGGAGGCTAGAGGTTGGGGTCCAAAAAAGATAACCTCAGTCTTGCTCTCATTGAGGTTGAGGACATTTTGGCTCAGCCAGGATTTGATCTCTGCTAAGCAGTCCATCAATAGCTGTAATGAGTTTACATTTGAATTGAGTGGCAGATGTGGGGATGTTGTGTGTTGTGAGAATTGAACCTAGGGGCAATATGTACAGTAGAAAAAGGATGGGGCCCAGAATCGAGCCTTGGGGAACCCCACAGGTAAGAGGGGCTTTGGCAGAGGAGAAGGCACCTAGCTGTACCGAGAAGCTACGGTCTGTCAGGTAGGACCTGAACCATGCAAGGGCAGAGCCTGTGATGCTAGCGGACTGTTCAAGCCGTGACAACAGGATACTATGGTCCACAGTGTCAAAGGCAGCTGTCAGGTCTAACAGCACCAAGACAGCTGGGCTACCTGAGTCGGCGGCTAGGAGCAGATCATTAAAAACTCTTAAAAGGGCTGTTTCAGTGCTGTGCATGGGTTTGAAGCCAGACTGGAACTTTTCATGGATGCCATGCATGGTTAAAAAAGACTGCAGCTGGGCGTAGACTACTCGCTCCAGGGCTTTTGATAAAAAAGGTAGCTGGGAGATGGGCCTAAAATTTGCGAGAATGGAGGGGTCGAGATTTTTCTTTTTAAGTAGTGGCTTGACCACGGCATGTTTGAAGGCAGCTGGGACACATCCTGAGGTAAGAGAGGTGTTTAAAAGTAATAAAATACTTGCTCCAACTGTCTTGGCCTTACAGCTTCCAGCTGAATAAAAAATGGATGCAGTGTATTTCCTCCCTCTGTCCACCAGATGTCTCCACAATCTCAGAATCAAGTTGAACTCAACACTTCTCAGAGTGCAGTCACATTAGATTACATTACATGTCATTTGTTAGACGCTTTTATCCAAAGCGACTTACATTCAGTGCTGTGGACAATCCCCACAGGAGCAATTTGGGGTGAAGTGTCTCAGGGACACAACGACATGCTGACTGCAGTGGGATTCGAACTTGCTACCTCCTGATTCCAAGGCCTCCCTTTCCCTGGTTCACCTGCTCACCTGTTTCCACTTCCCTTCATCAGCCTGCAGAGTATAAGTGTCCTGCAGCCTCTGTCTGTCTTTAAGCTTTGTATAATCAAACACTGAAATGCAACTAGCTTGTTTGCATGTGGGTCATTTCCCTTAGCAGCCACCAACAGATAGTGAACTTTTAGCAGACTTGTTTCCAACATGGGGGCCACTGTTCTTGCTCTTGTAGCTTTAGCCCCTCGTTACAGTTTCAGCTTCTTCTTCTTTCACTTTCAGAATAAAAACCACACGAGGAACCCACAGACAGAAACAGGTACGGGCCCCTCAGCTCACGTGCAGCCAGCATCTGAAAACCACCCGGCAAACACATGCAGTAAAACTAAATTTATCTGGACACCGAGTTCTTTAAGGTAGCCTGATGTACCGTGTGGTTAAGTGAAGGGCTGATCAAGGTTGTGTTGATAACAAAGGGACTGCTGATCACAAGACTCATGCATTAGTACATCTGGGCATTTATTTTCTCATGTAGTTCTACAATCACCTGCATAACGGATGAAAGTAATAAAGGTGGCAGTTTGTTACATATTATTATTTAAGGATGTGAATTAAATTCAAATGAATGATTTGACTTTAATATGCAGGTCTATTGGAGATGTTGCTTTATTCTGACCAAATCAAACCAAGGACCAGGTCATTGACCAGATGTTATTTATGTTAAAATCACCTTTTCAAACTGCCTTTTAATGTTATTGTTAATATTATTATTATTATTATTATGAATAAACACATATATTGAATAGGTATCACGTGCATAAGAAGGATTTAAAAACAAAATCAAAACTGTCAATGATGTTTCTCTGGGGAATTTGGCAAATGTGGCAATACAGATGTGGCAATAATTGAGCCTTGTGGTACTCCATATTTTAAAGAATGCATCATAACAATGTTTAATTCTGTGTAAGCAGTTGTGTTAAAGTATAGTTTTCCGTCATGTCATAATGCTTTTTGTTTGTCTGTTCTACACATCAAGACGTAAAGTTGTCTTTCTCACGTGTGAGTTTTTGGCCTCAGCCTCTAATATTAACCCCACCACTGACACGTATTTCCTTCCATGACACGCGTCTGAGCGACAAGGCGTTTCATTAGTGAGCCACACAGGAAGAGACCACCCCTCTTCTTCTTTTTACATTTCAGTGTGAGGTTCACTCAGTCAGCAGCCAGACGTCATGGAGGCCACAGCGCTCTGCATCACACTGTGTGAGTACTGAGTCTTCATCTGATGTTTTTCATATAAAAGATGTTACTAGATCATATTAGCTAAAGGAACATATGGAGGTAGATTTGTGTCAATATTATTTGTGTGAACAGATCACTAACCCGTGTGTAAATGTAAAAACAAGTCTACGCGTGTCACTGCCATTTTGGGACGATGATGTGGTTTCAAGCATTTTTAGATGTAGTCTGAAAAGTAATTGCTGCTTGACGTGCATTTTATATATTCTTTACACATTTTCCATGAATATTTCTGTTATTTTACAAATCCTTTTGGGAATTTTACATTTACAAACGGGTTATTGATCTGTCCGAACACATAATATTGAGACAAATCTACCTCCATATAAATATATACAAATGATTAACATTTTAAGATTTTTCAAATTGTTTTAAAAGTATTATCCATCAAATATATAAGGTAATCAAATCTAATATAAACAATCCGTCTGATGTTTGTCTCTGTTGTCTCTGCAGGGATGATGGTGTTTCTGCAGCTCTGTGAACAGAGAGTTGGTAAGAAACTTGTTTACCAAAAATAAAGCAAAACAAATCATAACTTTATTTAAAGTGCTATATATTAATCTCAACAACAAAATGTATTTTTGAGTTTCAGATGCAGATGTTTGGATCGAACCATCCAGACTTCAGGTCTTTGAATATGAGCCGTTCTCTTTAAGATGTGTGGGCTTCGATGGTTTGACTGATGTGAACATTTTACGGTGGAGCAAAGCAGGAAAGGAAACTTGTGATGGTTCAAAATGGGGCTCATTGAATGAGAATAAATGCAACATTAAATCTCCTTATAAAGAGGAAAGTGGAGATTACTGGTGTGAGGCTGGAGGGAAGAAAAGCAACTCTGTGAACGTCATTATCACCGGTATGTTGACATTAACATATTCTTTCTATACAATGTTTGTTAGAAGAACAAAAAAAGTGCAATGATGCCAAGGTTATAAAATAAACATATCCTTGAAGCAAAAAACATTTTTTTTATCTTAATATTGTAAATAAAGAACAGAATTCCTCAAGGAAGTGCAATAAAAGCAAACAGCGTGCGCAAAGCTGAGCGTGGTTATTAAGCATAGCCTACTATTGGAGTCACACAATTGCAGACAAATATGTTTCTTAAATCTAAAATAAATTGTGGTTTTTTCCTGTCTCCGATGTCATTTTTATAATTGTTCACAAATATTATATAAATAACACACTCTGATTTCTGATTTATTCATCAATGTGTTCAGTTTATTTCTGATATTTATCATTTCTGGGCATGTTGCAACCTGACTTTACATCTCAGTATCTTCACAATGCCTTCGTCTAAATTAACAATTGTTCTCTTGTAAATAACTTCTTCGACAAAACTCAAACTGAATGTTTGATCCCGATGTTGTTCAGGTGGCTCTGTGATCCTGGAGAGTCCTGTGCTCCCTGTGATGGAGGGAGAATCTGTGACTCTGAGCTGCAGGAACAAGACGACCACTTCCTCCATCCTCTCAGCTGACTTCTATAAAGATGGCCGCCTCATCAGGAGCAGCCCTTCAGAGAACATGAACATCCGCAGGGTTTCTAAATCTGATGAAGGACTCTACAAGTGCAGCATCTCTGATGGTGGAGAATCACCAGAGAGCCGGCTGACTGTCAGAGGTGAGATATAACCTTTGTACTCTGATATTTAATTACATGTTATGTTACAAGTAAATACAAGTAAAATACTTATATCTTATATTTTTTGTAATGTCTTGTAATTGCATTGTTGAGGAACCTGTGACCCAAGTTGTTTATATCATATACACAACTATACTGTAGTTGTGTATATGATATAACATTTAACCTTTTGAATCTTTGAATAGAATGAGAAGTGGAAGAAATACTCAGATCTTGGGTATTTCTTCAACTTCTCCTACAGTATTACTTGTACTAAATTGTACAAGTAATAGGACAAAACTAATGGCATCAAAATATACTTAAAGTACCAAAATTGCAGAATATTATATATTATTTAATAGTATTATAGGTATTGATTTATAATGTGTTCATCACTTTGATGATGCATGTCGAAATGATGTTAAGAAATACATGTGATTACCGTCTGCTCCTAAATTAATCATTCCTATTTCGTTTTCAGCTAAAGAAACTTGCTCCACTCTCTCCCCGTGGATCTTTGTCTCTGTTTCATTGATGCTTCTGCTGCTGGCCGTGGGAATACATCGATTTTGCAAAGGTTATCGGCACAGAGGTACGAATACAATTCACCAACAATCTGCTACTATAGGCGACGGAGAACTGCAGGAATGAGTCCTAAAAACCTGAAATGAGTCAGCATTTTAGCACTTTGTGTTCCCTTGTATTTAAGTATTTTTTTTTTTGGTTGTAAGCCTGAAATAATGTCTGTGGTTAACACAAGCTGAAGAGATTTACCGTTATGTTCTAAGTCATAAAATACGTCAGTAAATACCGGACTGGTGGATTTCAAAACGGCGGTTGCTGAGTGTCTAAATGAGACGACTAAACGCCATCACACCCAAGCCTACGAATAATGAAAAAACTAATTTCGTGACATTCAGGATTCTAGGTTTTGATAATAAGGAAACACTCAGTTCTATTTTGAGCCATTACATTAATTATCTTTCTTAACGCTGTGAAGGTATTTGGTCGGTCTTGGCGAAGGTCTGCTACCCTATAGATTGTATTTGTATTTTATGTATGGGTTTTTCTTAAAAATAAATCCATTTATGTTTGCTGTCACAAAATGAGGCATGGAAGAAAATAGTTTCCATACTCGTTATTCCATGTCTGAATCTTCTTTTGTTTCTGGTTAGATTTTAATGTTGTTTTTCCTTTACTGTGGAGCAGTGTTGCTCTGCCTGTCCACACAAACACCTGGACTGGCTGAGCATCACACAGGTGAGAACACAAACCATGTTGCATCCTTCATAAAGATCTAAAGTAATGTAATTAGCTTACCTTAATATACTAGGACTTTCAAATAGAAGATTCAAAGGCTTTTTCGTCATGTGCGAAATAACTAGAGTGTAGTTATTAGTGGTATTAAAATACGACCAATTGTTTAAAGGATGTTACATATCTAATTAAAATATAACAATATTCTGTACTTAATAAACACTGGCTGTTTTTCTGTCTTATTTGTCTGTCCATTTATCTGTCATGTCAACTAAACTATATGTATTTTTTTGTTGCTAGTTCCAGTAGAGACCAGTGCAGTGGATTCAGGCCAAATGACGTATGCTGTGGTATCAAAAAACAGGAAGAAGAAAGGTACTTAAAACCTGACAGGGTTACTACTGCTTTAATTTCACCTTACATGCTTTTCTTACTTATGTCAAGTACGGTTGTGTCTTAATTGAAATCTAAAGGCACACTTTTTAGACAATTATTGTTATGGGGGGGGGGGGGGGGGGGGTGTTTGGGAGAGAAGCTCCCTCTGGAGGGAACACAGGAATGTTAGCCTTTGCAGACCATTTACATGGACTAAAACCTACAAAACACACTACAGGAGAGGGGACACCACAAAAAGCATAATCTGGCCTCTTTAATAACCTACATTTTCAATCCGTAGCAGAGGACGCCTTGTATTCTACAATCCAGCCGGTAAGACTGAGAATTAGATTATTATAATGAATGTTGCTTAATGTCATACTGGATGGATGGTAGATATTTTAACATCCTATTGAAAACTTTGGACAACATGGATGTGTAGTAAGTTGTATGAGGGTTTAAAATAATGTGCTTTGACTTTATACAACTATATACATTTTGGTTTAACTATATATTGTATATAGAACAAAAGGGTAACCTTCTAACATACATACCATTCACTGGAGTCATGCATTCAACTTAAAATTAGATTTTGTACCATTCCTCATTATTATTCTTGAACTTTAGAAATAGTTATAATCGTGCTTACTACCCGTAAATGATATAAATACATATATAACATTTTAACAAAGCCTACCTCTATAATACTCCTATTCTATATTATTAACATTTGTTCTGTATTTGTTTTACAGCTGAAGATGGAGTTTTGAAAAACTGTTTCACACGTTGTACCTTAATGAAAAGGTGAATTAAGAATGCACTGATATTTGTTTATAAAGTATTATAAATAAATAGTTCATTTTATTGTTGAAGAACAAATGTAGTGGTTAGTTATCAAAGCGAAATGCTCATTTATGTTTTAAGATATGAAAGTTTGTTGTGGTTTCACAGTTAAACCGACTTGTTCCATCTCACAGACACACGGCTGATTCTAAATACTCTCGTTGTGGTTTACTGCCGAGTTAAAAGTGTTTCTGCATCACGCTGAGTCTGTGGTTAAACATGTGTTATATTTACTGTCCTGTGAAGGTGTGAAGGTGACTGTGAGAACACATGAACTATAAAACGTGTCACAGTGTATTTCTGTGTCACTGTCAGATTCATTTGAATTGTAAATATTGCTTTACCTTGTCACATCATTGAACAAGGTTTTACCGCTCTGCCATAGAGAGTATATTCACATACTAAACAGTTTATTTCCCAAAGCCATACACACTCTGAGCTACACACACACACACACACACACACACACACACACACACACACACACACACACACACACACACACACACACACACACACACACACACACACACACACACACAATGCCGGTGATTGCCCGACACATCACCGGCATTGCACCTCTTTCTGGACATCGCTCGTCATCCCCGTCGGAAATATATCCACCGTGGTTCCCGGCGAAGATTTTACATCGATGACTCCAAACCCATACAATCCATCTGGTCTGCTCTGCTCACTCTCACCTAACATAATAGTGCTGGGAGATTTTAATATACATATGGATACTGTCAACAATGCTCTCACAAAGGACTTCACATCTTGCCTGGACAGTTTTGGATTACAGCAACATATCGATTTTCCGACTCATTCCAAAGGACATATTCTGGACTTGATCTGCTGTTCTGGTGTCACCCCTCTTAAATGTACTGCAACTGATCTTCCCATTTCTGATCACTCATTAATATCCTTTACTGTCACCTTAACACTGTCCAAACCAAATCTGTCACGTGTTATTTCCTTCCGCAACATCAAGGATATTAATTTAACTACACTCTCCGGTGGCATTGACAACCTCCCCAGCATAAATTGTTCATCCCCGCCTGATGAACTGGTTTCTCATTACAATAACAATCTTCATAAACTGCTCAATACCATGGCTCCTTTAAAAACCCGGTCTGTTTCCTTCACCCATTCTGCTCCTTGGTTTACACCTGAACTACGCCAACTCAAAACAAAAGGCCGTCGATTGAAACGCCTCTGCAAAAAAACTGGACCTGTCGTTCACAAAGAAATGTACAATAACCACATTCTCCACTACAAGGACACTCTCTTTACAGCCAAATCATCATATTACGCAGTTCTCATCAGCTCTAGCGAAGGGAACACAAGGGTCCTGTTCTCTACAGTGAAGTACATTCTACGACCACCGGACTCTCTTGCACCTCATCAGTATTCAACTGCCTACTGTAACTCCCTCATGTCATTTTTTAATGACAAAATAGAAAACATTCACCAGCAACTAACTCCTAACACCACGTGCAGTATATCTCTCCCTGTTTTCACCGACCCTCTCTCTCATTCTCTTTCAAGTTTCACACTTCCCTCTGCTGTTGTAATATCTGACCTCATCAGTAAATCCAAGCCATCAACCTGTCAGTTAGACCCTCTTCCTACCCCCCTGGTAAAAGCCTGTCTATCTTCATTGTCCTCCCTTATAACTGTCATCATACACTCCTCCCTCACCTCTGGTCTTGTTCCCTCACTTTTCAAATCAGCCGCCATCACGCCCATACTGAAGAAACCTGGTGCAGACCCGAACAACTTTAATAACTTTCGTCACATATCTAACCTACCATTTCTCTCAAAAATCCTGGAAAAAACTGTTGCATCCCAGATCCATACCCACTTGTCTGACAATAACCTGTACGAACAATTTCAATCTCGTTTCCGCCCCCATCACAGCACAGAAACAGCACTGATGAAAATCACTAACGACCTCCTCATGGCAGCTGACTCCGGACTATTAACTATCCTCATCCTCCTTGATCTTAGAGCAGCTTTTGACACCATTTCCCACAGCATCCTCATTGACAGACTGACCTCCATCGGGATCACTGACACACCCCTCCTCTGGTTTAAATCATATCTCTCTGGCCGCACTCAGTTCATCCAACTCAAAATCTTCAAATCACAGCCACTTCCAGTCATGACCGGTGTTCCCCAGGGCTCTGTCCTGGATCCTCTTCTTTTTATCATCTATCTACTTCCTCTTGGCAATATCTTCCGTAAACACAACATCCACTTTCATTGCTACACGGATGACACCCAGCTCTACTTGTCCTCCAAACCAACCACCATCCTCCCTCCATCCTCCCTGTCTGACTGCTTACAGGACATCAAATCCTGGTTTTCCTCTAACTTTCTCAAACTTAACGACAATAAAACAGAGGTTCTCCTCATTGGCACAAAATCCACCCTAACCAAACCTGACAGTTTCTCCATTACAATAGACAACTCTTCAGTCTCCCCCTCCCCTCAGGTTAAGAGTCTGGGTGTCATCCTCGACGGCACACTTTCATTCAAATCTCACATCAGTAATTTCACTCGGTCTGCCTATTTCCATCTACGCAACATCAACCGCCTCCGCCCGTCCCTTAACCCTAAAACCACCGCCATTCTTGTTCACACCCTGGTCACTTCCCGCATCGACTACTGCAACTCCCTTCTCTTTGGTCTCCCTCTTAAATCCATCCACAGACTTCAACTGGTTCAGAACTCTGCCGCCCGCATCATCACCAGAACCCCCTCCATTAACCACATCACTCCTGTTCTTCAGCAACTTCACTGGCTCCCCGTCAAATCCCGTATCACCTTTAAGGCCATCCATAACCTCACTCCTCTGTACCTCTCCGACCTCCTGCACATCAACACACCCATCCGCACACTCAGGTCTTCTGCTTCCCTCCACCTCACTGCACCCCCCTTCCGTTTAACCACAATGGGGTCCAGAGCCTTCAGCCGCTCTGCACCCCGCCTCTGGAACTCTCTCCCACCTGACATCCGCAACACTGACCCTCTCCCCATTTTCAAATCACGCCTCAAAACATATCTCTTCACACTCGCATATCCACCCTGATCATTATCCATCACATATCCTCTGTTTTTATTTATTTGGTTATTTGATTGATTGATTTATATACTGCATTGTCTTGTTTATGTTTCTTATGCTGGTGTTATCTATTGTGTATCTTGTTTTTTATGTATTTGTATGGCGACCTTGAGAGCCTTGAAAGGCGCCTATATAAAATAAATGACTTATTATTATTATTTACACACACACACACACACACACACACACACACACACACACACACACACACACACACACACACACACACACACACACACACACACAGAGACTCTGCAACCAACATCATGAACTCAAAACCTACTTTTATACAGCCACATATTATTTCATCTTATCTTATTATAGAACTGCCTTAATCGTTCACTAAAGCTCTAAAACTGACTATTTCTCTTCTTCTTGTTTTTGTCTTTTGTTGCTTGTCTCTTTTTTAAATAGTTTGTGAATGTGTTGTTCATGTTGCGTATTTTAAGCACTGCTCGTACGGGCACTCGTAATTTCATTGTATTTTATATATAATTACAATAAAGGCTTCTATCTTAAACAGCATCTGCATTGATTAAAGAAACTCTGTTCTGTTCATCCTGAAAGAGAAACCAGGCGTATGTCGCTGTGACACATTTTGTCCAATAATAGTAATAATAGTAAATTCAGCCGTTTTCAATCTATTTGTATTTATGTATTTGTATAATTTGTGTATTTATTGTCTGCAGTGTTTGTCAACTGACTGCAGGTGGCAGAGGAGCTGAATATGGATATTATATATGACACAATAAACCTGCATTATTTGTTATGCTCCCTCTGTCCACCAGATGTCTCCACACTCTCAGAGTCATGTTGAACTCCTCACTTCTCAGAGTGCAGTCACATGACCTGGTTCACCTGCTCACCTGTTTCCACTTCCCCTCATTAGATAATAACAAATCTATATATCAGGAAAGTGAAAACCCCCAAAAGCAGAATTGGGCCTCTTTAACACAACTCTTGTTTGAATGTGTGGGCTTTAATGGCTTAGAAAGTTATGGAAGTTCAAAGGAAATATTTTCAAGTAAAAATTCACTGAATACATGAAAACAAATAACACAACAACCTTCATCTTTTAGGAAAATGACACAGATATGAAAAGTTATATGAAACCAAATACTCAGAGCAGAGTTAACAAAATAAAATGCAATATTAATATACAAAATGTACTTCCAGCTCTAGGAAGATTTGGGTTGAATATATTTGACTGAACATTGATCTGAGTTGAACTGAAAATCATTTCTGAACAATTTGCTAATCTGACGGAGCGTCTCTCAACTTGCCGAACGAGTCCTGAAAGATAAAAATAAAAAGATTCAAGGAAACAATTTAATCTTAATTAATTTACTTAACCATGAAATGTAATTCAATCTTTTAAAGTATATTTTCAAGCCATTATGAGGAACATTTACAGTCCTACCTTCATCACGGGTGCGTAGAGAGGCTCCTCTGCTGAGGGTGAGTTTTTATATCCTGATTCTGCACAAGAGACGAGTTCAATTCATGATAATATGCAAGAAATCAACAATAGAATTATCTTAAAAAACTTCATTCAATGTTAATCCCTTGTTATTGTAAAATCAATTACTTGGAAAAACACCTGCAAGTAACCTTTAGATCCAACATTATCGCTTTAAAAAAGAAAAATGTCAGTATTTTTTATGTTTTCTGTCCAGCACTTTATCATTAGAAGGGTTTGCACTGCAACAGAAGATGAATGTAGGTTTTAACTTTTGAAACTTAAACCATAACCTAAAAATAATTCTGAAACATTTGACAAACTGAGAAAAAAGTCCGAATATCCGAAAAAAAAACGTAATTCTGGGGAAAAGTCTGTATTCTGACTTATATCACTTTTAAGGTTTTTCATTTTCATCAAGCACTTTGAATTGCCTTGTGTTGAAAGGTACTATATAAATAAACATGTTTTTTAAATTCTGAGAAAAAAGTAAAAATTCAGACTTTTCTCTCAGAATCATTCAGATAGATTGTAAAAACTATTCAAATGTGGCCCCAATCCTTTACATTTACAAGAGTTTATTCTTAACTGTACATGAATCTAAATACAAAGACATATGAGGTGCTAAGAAAATAAAGATTATTATTTTCATTACTTTAATGGGTCAAAATAACTTCTACTGTTCAGATATCTGTAGCTATTTTGAATGGATAGCTATATCTGATAAGGATTTTGGTAGCGTGAATTATTTGTGTGTGCATCTTCTTAGATTACATTTTACATCTCTAAGCCTCAGCAACCTCTCAAGAGGAAAAGACCTCCATCGGCAGAAATACGGGTACAGTCCGGCCGTCTCGGCATAAGTGAAACGAGCCGATCCGGCATCAGAATGGAGTCGAGGCCTCCTCCATCAGCTGATGGAGGAGGCCTCCTCCATCAGCTGATCCGCGAACACGGAAGTCGCATTACGCACAAGCCGACCGCGAGCAGGCGTTCTACACCGTATTTACCCCTTTTGTTTCTTTGTTTGTTTGTTCACCATGTAAAGCGACCTTGGGTCCCTTGAAAGGCGCTATACAAATTTCATCTATTATTATTATTTTTATTATTCAATCCCTCCCGGGAAATTCAACCAGCAGATAAGTGATGTTCAGGCATTTTCACATTATGAAATGCTTCTCTCACTTCTAATCTCTTTAATCACGCTCCATACACAAATCAGCATCATAGGGGGCCGGGAGAATCAGACCCTAACACAAGCCCCAGCAGACTAGCCCGAGCTACCAGGAGTTTCACTCCATGAATATAATATAAAAAACAAAAAAAACGAGCCGGGAGTACACACTCCCCAAGGCGGCTCAAAGTCCTCTTGTTAAACACGGCTCAAAGTCCTCTTGTTAAACACGGCTCAAAGTCCTCTTGTTAAACACGGCTCAACATCATCATTGTCAGTAAGATCATGAAACATTTAATCTAACCGTCAAAAAGGCCGGGATAACACTCCCTAAACACGGCTCAACTTCATTGTCAGTAGGATCAGGTCAGAGAATCTAAACAGCTCACTTTCATTCTAACTGGTTTCACTTCTCTCTCACTGCATATCTCCTGTCTAACCCTCGCTTGTGTTTCCATAGACTCGCTGCCATGATAAGGTATGTGTCCACGTTAAGTGCAGCTTTACTATTGTAAACACCTCAAGGATATATCATAATGATTCATTGTATCGCAGCTTTTCAGGTTTCAGCACAGAGATCTAGTTGACATTTTTTTTTGAATACGAGTACATAATACGTATAATGTAAATAAAGGTAGTTATATATATTCCACTGTCTTTAAAGACAAAGTCATGTTTTTCTTATTTTTTTTGTAATCAGGAGGCATCATGTAGGGCCTGTAAGTACAGGCACATCCACTTAAGTGTATTAACACCTGAACATTACACTTGTGTGGTAATGAAACACTTCCATCCAGCAGTCAAGGACATTTTTGTTATTTAGCTGATCATTTTATCCACAGCGACTTATAATAAGTGCATTACATCATGAGGAAACACACTCAAAACAAGAAGATTCATTCAAGTGGGTACCATCCTTGAACTGAACACACAAAGTGAACCTCCTGCTGGTGGGTTTCTGCATCACAAGCAGGAGGGCCATGCACATGCTGAAGATATGAACACATTACAGTTGCAGCCTCATCAGAGTTTATTATGTGACAGTACATCACTTTTTATTGGCATTTTCATTTAAAGCGCTTTATTATAAGTGCATTCAACCATGAAGATTCAGACCCAAAAAAGCAAGAATACTGCAGGTTCATTAGCTTGTAATACACCAAATCAGTTGATACTGCAAAGGCTTTAAATAATTCTAACTTTCTAGGTGCTACATATAGAAGACAGATTTCATAACTAGCCCTTCTGACAAATCTTGCTTTCTTTTTTCGTGCTTCATCTCAATGAATTTATTTTTCAGTCTTTGCCAGTCACACATCTACACATCCCACACACACACAAACCCCCCCCCCCCCCCCCTACACACACACACACACATACACACACACGCACACACACGCACACATGCACACAACAGTAGAAAGTCTGCCGGATGTTATACAAACTGAAAGTCCCGCCCCTTGCAGCCAAAGATCAGACATGTCCTCTGCCTTAATAGAGAATTGCCTTTCAACCGTTGCCACAATAAAACAATTCAAATGGTCCATCGCAACTGATTTTATTGCCATGTATTCATTGATAACCCGTAACCAAGACAATGAATCCAAAGTTCAGATGTTCATGAACCGAGACACTCAAAGTGAAACTCAGATAACAATTCAGTGGATAAAATGACACTAAACTTGAATATTCTACACAGCTTTTGTAGAAAATGCCTCTTGCTGTTGCAGAAACATTTGCACACTGAAAATAAATATTAAGCATAACATTAACCATCCAGAAGTTTGGTGAAGAAAAATGAATTACTGTAGGCGTTACTCTATTTGCATAATACTCTGCATTAGTCTGTCAATGATTTACAGACTTTGTCCTCGCATTCTGAGACGGAGACACGCAGCATTCAACAGGTACGTGTTCTTCAATTTGTTAACATTTAATACATAAGATAATATAGATGCAAAACCTTTATCATGAAAAGTCTGAATATTGAGTTTTGGTGAACCACAATTCTAGATTACAAAAGAAAAAAAAATGTATTTCATACGTTTGTGTCCGAGTGAAAACTACAGACTTGGTGATAGTCATAACACTTAACTGAGTTTTGTGTGTAACATGGCTACTAGTGTAACTAAATTATCATTATATGTCTTAAATAGAGGATATAATATAATGAAATAGGATATCTAAATTATAAGTAGGAACCAGAAGATGGTAATAAAGTTTTTGTTTCCATGTGTTGGAGCCTCAAGTACAAGTAATGTCCAAAGGTAAAATTCAGTTTATAACTCAGACCTTTGGATTGACCGCTTTTTGTCCAGCCTTTTGAAAACGTTTTATCTAAAGAGTTGTTTTAAAGCATGTTGTCCTGAAAGTTCACTCTGCTTTCACTGTTTTCTGTTCATTTGCAGTTCTCCATGATGATTTTACTCACAGACGGAAAGCCCCTTAAAAATCATCTGAGAACTCTCAGTGTTTTGTTTTTTCATCTTCTCCTAACGAACTACTGTAGAGGTAAGTTACAAATACAATCTTCAAAAGTCACACTTACAGCTTTGGGAAGACGTTTATATTTTGCTTAATTAGGCAAAAATTCAGTAAAGACCTTTAAGCAAGTGGTACCCCAATAGAGTGGCGAAGTCCCTCCCCTTCCGGTGGACCTCCATGGGAGCTTATTTCGGAAAAATTATGTATTGAAGTCAATGGAGAGAGAAAGATTATCTTTCGATCCCGTTTGAATTGTGCCACAAATTACACATATGATGTTTGTCAATTTAAAAGATAATTTTGCAAGTAAAAAAAAAAAAAATGTGTGGTAAA